TGTACATGGCATTTTGGAATAGAGTTTCTTACTAAAAAAAGTGTACATGGCATTTTGGAATAGGAGTTTCTTACTAAAAAAAGTGTACATGGCATTTTGGAATAGGAGTTTCTTACTAAAAAAGTGTACATGGCATTTTGGAATAGGAGTTTCTTACTAAAAGAGTGTACATGGCATTTTGAAATATTAAACTGAACGAGATGCACGATCATCTTGAAAAATAATTTAACAAATTTCTCTATATCATATAAAATTAAATATTTAGGTTTTGATAGACAAATATGATTGGCTATGACATGTTTCAGGAAGACTGAACTATTTAAACCACACTGGAAATGTAACTAGAAGCAACTCAGCATATTGTGGACCTGATGAGAATTAACAGTTTTGACAGCAGTTCACACATTCTGAAGTGTGTTCAGTGGGTTGCTGGCACATGTAATTTCAGAGAAGTATCACTGTGACAACAGGATTAACTTATCTATGTTATTAGGAACTCAGAATTACTACAGATGGTCCTAAAAAAGCATTCAAACAAGTGACTTAGGAAAAAAGGTAAAGAGCAAGTTAAGTTCAAGTACAGTTTATTAAAGATTAAAATTAAGCTTTAAGCTCAGGCAAGACCAGTCAGTATATGAACTGGTTTTAAAAGTCAGGAATTATATAAAGTCAAATAAGATACTTTGAACTCTGTATGGCTAAATTAACCAATAAAATCTAGCTTTTTTTTTTAAACACACCCATCTAACTACCACTTTCTTTGGCAATTGTTAAAGTTTACTGAAAAAAAAAGATATGAAAGAACTGATTCAAGCACTAAAAGTAACAGATATCACTTACAAATAACTACTAACACTAAAATACCAAATTTTCCCAATTAGTATTAATGCTTCTACCTAATGTCAGCTTTGGTTTTTTTAATTTTGCACATAGCCACATCAGGGCTATCCGCACTAGCCGTCCCTAATTTAGCAATGAGAGACTAGAGGGAAGACAGCTAATCAACACCACCCACTGCTAACTCTTAGACTACTCTTTTACAAACAATTAATGATATTGACCATCACATTATAATGCCCCCACAGCTGAAAGGGCAAGCATGTTCGATACGATGGAGATTCGTACCCACAACCTGTAGATTGTGAGTTGAACACCCTAACAACCACGCAATCACCTAACTTAAAAAAAAAAAAACAAATGCCACAATCAACACAAAAACTATTTGTATAATATACATTTTTTCTTATGGAAAATATACTTGAAATTGATATTGAAAAGGAAACAAGTTTTATGTCCAAACACAATACAATCATCTTTAATAACTGGCCTAATAGATTGCTCCAATGAATTAACTTCTCATAAAATCTTGAAACAGAGCCATTCCCCATGTGTTAAACAGCTAAATGCATCAAGAAAAAATGACTAATTCTGAAATTAAAACGCACCCCTAAAATAAACCTAATGTGAGAGACCCAACTACAGTAATAAAGTAGCAATAACTATAAACTTTGTCTATTACTATGAGACAAAGGCTCAAGAAGAATAAACATAAGGCAATACTGCAAAACACAGGAACTAGAAAGAATTATTCCCCAGAATTGATCCAGACAGTCAGTTGTACAAAGACAACTGAACATTACAAGGAATGTTTATCAAGACTCATCCACAAACATGTTCTGACATACATCTAAATGGGATGAACAAACTTTATATAATAATCACTAAATGCTATAGATAACCAATTATACAAATAGTTACAAAAATATTCAGAACACTTCAGTTGGCAGAAAAAAAAAGTTACGTATTCCAAAACATAAAAAAAAAAGTTAGTTTCTTTGTCTGTAAGCTTTCTTGTTTGTTTGTTTGTTTTGAATTTCACGCAAAGCTACAAGAGAGCTATCTGCACTAGCCATCCCTACTTTAGCAGTGAAAGACTAGAAGGAAGGCAGCTAGTCATCACCACCCACCACCAACTATTGGGCTACTCTTTTACCAATGAATAGTGGGATTGACTGTCACATTATAATGCCCCCACGGCTGAAAGGGCAAGCATGTTTGGTGTGATAAGGATTCGAACACACGACCTGCAGATTGAGAGTCAGGCACCCTAACCACCTGGCCATGCCGGGCCATCTGTAAGCTAAAATGGGCTGAGAGAAAATGGGTTAAAGACACTTTAATCAAATGTAATCTTCAATAGTAATAAACTGATTTCATAATTTTTAGCATTTTAAATGGCAAAGAAATAAAAAATAAACCAAAATACTAGCTAGGTTTTGTAATCCATTTATAGATTTGTATGTAATCACAGTTACTCAATACTGCGAAATGTTAGAATACTGATAATAAAATCATAGCACAAATATTAAAATTATCATACTAATAATAAATAATACAAACATACAAGTAAAACATATAGATATGAAGCAATATAATATCGAACTTGCAGATATAAAAAGATATTTTTTAAATCTAAACACAGCTTTTAAACAAGCTACATTTTTATTATCTTATTTTACCCATTGTATCATGTGGAGTTCTTTCTGTTTCTTCTTTTTTTCTCATTGATTCCAATAGATAACTTTCTTTGTTCCTGGACAGTTGAGAGCCCTCCACTGAAATAGATTTTAAAAAGTAGTTATAATAAGTTTAGGAGAATCAATTGAAATGACATACAAGTCAAACTTTATAAAAAACTTAAAGCAGTTACATACAAACAATTTCATTAATTCAGCATTTTCATACAAACTCTGCAATCACCACGAGCATAAGCAATTTCTCATACCATAAAAATAACAAATAAAAATACTTTGGATATATATATATAATTTGAGCTCCTTTCTTCAAGGTAAATTGAGAATACCATCCCTGAAATCCATGTTCATTACCTTCTTGTAATATTTCTGCAACAAGACTAGAAGCTGGATCTCCCACTTCAAGGACAATGGAATGTCGTTGATTTTGGCTCGAACAGGTTAGGGATTCTTCTTCAGAACTACCAGAACTGTTTCGGTGATGAACATCCACTTCTAAATCTACATTCACCAAGAATATATAAATCAACAGCTCATATGTAACAGAATTGTTTTAACAATGAACATCCACTTTATATATGATACAATGTTAACATTTCCTTACAAAAAAAAATGTGTATTTCCTATAGATACTCGCCTCCGTACACAGAACAGCTCCTTGAGTTCACATGATCTACCAACTGTCACTTAACCTCAGGTGGATCCCCATTAGTACTTCAGTCCGGAAAGGTCCTTTTACTGGAAACAATGCAATAAGTGACTCAGGAACCCTATTTTTAAAAGCCAGCAGGTATTACCAGAGATGTGGACAGTAGTTAGGTTTAGAAGGGCATGTTTATAATTAATGGATAGGGCCATGGTCATCCACAGAAATTTTAGGGGGGGGGGCAAATTCAAGGGATGATGGACCCACCTTGAAACTTTTGCCTTTACAGTCAGTATAATAGGCAAGCTCCCACAGTCATATTTAATGGTTTTAATATTTGTAAGGTTAGTTTAAGTCATACTGCAGACTTGCAGCTATATACACTCCATAATAGTAAGTTTTGGTTTGTTCTTTTAGGTTCTTAACTCAATAGGGTTATTTCACCTTATATAAAACAACTGTTTATATGAATACAGTAATTTGAGGTTACATAAAGCACAATATTTCAATGGCATTTATTACACATGCATGTATGTATGGTAAGAACAACAAGACCGTGAAAGTCTCTTTGATAACCTGCTGCCGGTATTACCGGCAGGTAAAAACAGGTTGACCCCGACCACACTGTGTCAGGGCTCAGGGGGATGTCGACAAGACTTCCCCGGTCTCTTTGATGACCTGAGCGAGAATTGCCCTGTCCAATATTCAAGAAGATGCCATGGTAGAGACTTTTTTCAATATTTAGCTACAGGGTAGGTATCTAGAGGTTTTAAATAAAGCTGCTGACAAACCTGGTAAAGTTTATTAGAATTGAAAAGGAATGAGAAGTTTGAGTGACTATATACGAGAATCAGTCAGGTGAGGGGGATGGGCCATAAGGGTGCAGGAACAGAGTTTAAATAGAAAGGAACTGGCATGTACAGCAATGTCAGGGAAGGGGAAAAAATAAATTGCAAGGGGAAGGGTTGTGTAATAATGAAGAAGAAGAGTCAAAGAACTCTACATATCTGAGTAATGAGGTTTTGAAAAACAGAGGAAGACTTGGAGTATTCTTCAGTAGTTAAAGACTTCCCAAAACAAAACCTGGAGGTGAAAAAAGGCACTCAAATTCATTCTCCTAAACTTCATGCTTGAAAGAATGGGAAGGAAAGTGATGGAAGGGACTGAAGTAAAGGGTCCTGGCTGCATTCATAGACCCCACCATACATTAGACAATGACCATCACACCTTTCACAGATAAAAAAAACTTCTTGCTAAATTATTGGTATTTCATTCAGGGTGACATATATTTTCACCCACATCAACAGAAGATGAATTCACATTAAGTTGCGAATTGATATTGAGTAGGTTAAAACTCAAAAATCAAGTGACAGTTGAAAATTGAAAAAGTTGAAAATCTCGGCAAACTCAAAACACATCTTTTCACAACAGTACCAAGGAAAAAAAATGGAGATTCACAAGCGTGAATGTAGAAGGAGTCATTACACACGGAGGTGTGTCACACTCCTACTGACGAAGGGTTCTGCTACATAATTACGTCGTTATGCGGTGGTGCAAGTTCAGGAGGTTTCACATGAAATTAGGTGGGAGTTTTCACAAGGCTGATGGCTTACAAGTCTCTATGACAGATCACACAAACTCAAGAGGTAAGAAGCTAGTCTGTGTAAAGAGGCGAGTATTCATTTCAGAATTTCTAAATTTTCTACAATAGTAATAATTACGACAAAGGAAGCTATTTTCTAGAACATTACAAGGAATATGGGTTCACTTTATCAAAAAATTAATAACACTATCATCATTCAAAATACATAAAACATACTATCCCAAGTCACGAATATAATAGCAGTTCTCCACAAATATCGGCCAATACCTTCTTCAGGTGAGAAAACAAAACACATATTCCTTTTTAATGAAAAGCAAACAAACCTATAGTGCTTGAACAAGGTTTGACTTCTGACTCGGAACCAATGAGCTTGTTGATGATATCCATGGAACCAACGTGAGATACACTGTGTTTAACAGGAGAATCAGGGAAAGAATTTCGTGAACTACACTGCACAGGTGGAGTGTCCCCACCTCTTCTTGGCTTTAGAACTGCCATTTCTATATGCTCTGAATCACTGGAACAAGAGGAGAGTTAGTAAAGTTTTATTTACAACTTTCCTGTTACTTGTTCCATCATGAAGTTCAACTGTGTAAATTCTAGTTAAATCCTCTTATTATTTTAGCATTTACATGTTCTCATGAAATTATTATTTCAATTAAAATATTTTTCAATGTGTGCCATACAGTTTGCTGGATATTTACCTTTGTAAAAAGTAACAGTACAAATAATCTTTTTTCAACTAAGCAATAGTTACATAATTATAAGTAAACACCGAAAAACTATTTTTCATTTGTACTGATGTATTGGTGTGAATGCATAATTAACATTTTTTCATTCATTGCATGTCAGAATCAACCAAAAACACTATGTTATAAAGCTGATTCATTAATTTGGTGGACTTTGTTATAAAGTAACAGTTAATAATGATGCTTCAGCAGAAGTAATTAAATATCAGAATCAACCAAGTAATTATGTTGTAACACAGCAGCTTATCCCATTAATCTGGTGGACTTTGTAATACTTAATAATGATGCTTCAGCAGAAGTAAGTAAATGAAGGCTACCTCAAAATTGCAGAAGCCGGAAAATCCAAATGTCAAATTAAAATAAAGCATTGGAATGGCTATTAGATTTTGCTGAAGTAATGTAATCAAAGTAAAATTGAAGAAAGTCAACCTACTGTCTGGAACTCTTGAGAGAAGGGGAAAACTAGTTTGGTCATGATTCTAAGTCCAACCTATACCACCTCATGGTGAGAACCATCAGTGTCTCTTCCTGGCTTTGTCTCTTAGACAGAAACTAGCAATAGAGATGCAAGTCCCATGATTTTCTATAAATAAACTTTTTTGGCGTTCTATGCAACAGCTCATTCTTAATTTCTAATTACTGTAGTTTAAATACCCAAGTTATTTATTAGCCTAACAGCTACAGAAAATAAATTCTTTAAGATTCTTCAGTTATAAATAATTAGTTGTGAATAATTACTGTGTTTTAGTAGCTTCAAAGTACTATTTTTCTTTTTCGTTTGTCTGTAACTATTAGACAATAGTTTCAAAATTGTCAAATGTTCATGATAACTGAATAGACTATTTGGCATTTATTTTTAACGAGCTGTAGTACCGTCAAGAATTCTATCATTATGAAATTAGATGGGGTCCAACCCCTCCATAACCTTCTTCATGTCATCCTATATCATTGTGTCAAGTTGTGCTGAATTGCTAGTTTTCCAAAATTAGATATGAAATAAGATTGGGGGGGTCCAAACCTCCCTCATGACCTTCCTCATATCATCCTGTATCATTGTGCCAAGTTTGGTGCTGATTGATCAAGAAATGTGGAAATGTATAAGGAATAGATACACACACATATTGACATTTGTCAGATTTAAAAAATAACAATATTATATATGTATATGGGTTCTGTTGTTTTTTTTTGCTAATTGTTGAAATAAATGGCTTTTATTTATATTTCTTAATAGCATAAATACATACTATGTAGTTGTTGGGATTAGGATTCTTCTACAGTAAGTGTCTGTGATTTGTTAGTGATAAATTCAAAGATGAATAAACAGCACACACTTTACTTGTTTTCAAATAATATATATATATTCTCTATAGTTGTTTAACTTGTTTCGAATATATATCAGTATATGTATAGTTCTCCTCTTCTTGTCAAAAGTCCAATTAGGCCTGTTCAATTACTTTAGAATCTCAGTTGACAAACCGAACTATTTTCTCTAAAATTATCGCGATATTAGTCTGGTGTGATTCACATACGATTGTGGTCTTCTTTCTTTTGAAGATCCTATGTTCATTTTGTCAAAGTGCACTCAGGCTGATTCAATTACTTTAGAATTTCGCTTTGATGGAATAAACTTATTTTTCTTATTTCCTTTTCCACTATTAGTTTCACTCTAATATATATTAAATGTTAGGCCTATGTCAGTCATTAGGCCTATCACTTTTACATTACTTAACTTCACACCAACTATATTCTCTTTGCTTTTATCTGTCTAATACTGTCTGTCTGTTGCTTCCCTCTCATCTCACGCTATTTATATCTTTCTTACATAGTCGTCTGGCCACTTTCTATATTCTCGACAACAATTAGTTATTAACAAAACCTTCTACAATCATCTGCTTTTAACTCTTATTATAATAAAACTTAAAAATATTAAAATATTCACTCACAAATATAAATTAATCACTAATATTTAAACCAAACAGTCTTTAATATCATAACAGCATTTATTTATATAAATAGATGCCCTAGTTTAGTCAAACTAACCTAATATTTTTGTTCACATTTTCTTTCAAACCAAAACTTTGTTCTAATATTACAAGTTTCTAATAATTGGATTAGGCCTAACATGGTGTAACTAAAATCATTGCAAAGTTGTAGCTACTGATAGCTTTTTTATAAGTAACCAATTTCTCAAGTATTTCTCATGTTCCTCATATATCTTGCAAGGTTCAAATACAAGTGTGTTAACAAATAATTTTGGTTGAAACAGACTAACTCGGAGAGATTTTTTCAGTTAAAACTTACTGAGGCATAAGTTAGCATACATTTATTTGTTCTTATAGTTTCATATTACAATTATTTTTTTTATTGTTCAGATATTAGCCAACAATATTGACAGTGTCAAATGTCTATAACAGTTTGTAGCTATTTTTAATTAAGAAATCATTCAAAGTAATGTGGGGTTACCTCAATAGATAACCTGATTTCATTTGACCTCGAGAAGAGTTCATTGTTTCTGTAGCCATAATTGAGATACTGAGAGGTCCCTCTTAGCCTTTTTGTTTGAAAATCAAGGACATATTGTAAATTGAGGTTCTTCATAAAGAATGTAAAATTAGAAACCAAGGTACAGAATTAACAGGAGATGGTAACAGAATGATAACAGACTCTTCTATGGTTACTTATTTTCTTGGTAAATTAAAATCTGTAAGGAAAACACTAGCTGACCAACCCACTATGGAATCCTAAAAGGAGATGTGCAGCACTGTCAAAAGCTCAACACACTGCAGCAATGCCAGAATTTCCTAGATTATGTCTGGTACTGGTGTTTGAGTATAGTGTCTAGGAAGGTATTGTGGATGTTATGTCTGGTACTGGTGTTTGAGTATAGTGTGTCCATAATACCTTCCTAGACACTATACTCAAACACCAGTACCAGACATAACGTCCATAATACCTTCCTAGACACTATACTCAAACACCAGTGCCAGACATAATGTCCACAATATCTAAAGAAGATATGTGATTCTGGTGCATGGTGGACTCAAGAGTTTGACCTGACCAGCCGAGTGACCATGAGGAAACGAGTTAGACCTGACCAGCCGAGTGACTATGAGGAAACAACAGAAGTACAAGACCAAAGATGTATATTACAATGATCCAGACACCACTTAACCAATGGGATCCTCTCTCCCACCTTCACGACTCACCACGTTTGGATCGCAGAGAAGACAAACTGTACAGGCAAAACCTCTCTATATACAGCAATCCATGACAAGGGGCAATGAATTAGAAACAAGCGTATATCTCCTACTGCCTCTGTAATTTACATAAACATTTGTCTTATGGTGTTTTTCAAGTCATATATGTCAACATATACATTAGCAATAAACTGTGCCAAATTTGTCTTCAATTGATTAAATAAATAAAAGTTATTTTACTCTAAAAATCATTAAGTTTTATTATATATGTTTCAGTTCACTAGAACAACATAAGTATTTTAAGTAAATACTTCTTGAAAACCTTATTTTTTAGTATATTTGCATATGAAAAAAAACTAGCTAATCTTCTACTACTGCATTTAACAATCAATAATTAATTAGAGTAATTTCAACTTACCGCTATATTTGAGTCTGAATGGCCAACAATCAATAATTAATTAGAGTAATTTCAACTTACCGCTATATTTGAGTCTGAATGGCCAACAATCAATAATTAATTAGAGTAATTTCAACCTACCACTATATTTGAGTCTGAATGGCCAACAATCAATAATTAATTAGAGTAATTTCAACCTACCGCTATATTTGAGTCTGAATGGCCAATAGAATGAAAAGTAATATTTTCAATGACAAGCCATACCACATAAAATCATGAATACAACATAATGAATGAGTTTAGTATTAAAAATAAAGTATACTGTTAATTTTAGTGTGTATGCTAATCAATATATTTTTGTAAAATCAACCAACTATACAATATATTATTTTCAACATAAATACTCTAATAATCAGTACTTCAATGTTTTATTACCACTGTGGATGCTGACTGTTGCTCTGTAGAGCCTCTTCTTCATCAGACTTTACCGATCCTTCACTTGCATCTTCCACACATTCTCCATTGTCAAACATGCAATGAAGCCTGATGTTTATCACTTTAACCATAGTGACAACCACACCCACAACTCCACAGTAAAGGCTCCAAACAAACACTGAACTTGGAAAGAACTAAAAGATACATTTTATGGTTGCAATGTATAACAGGTAAACATATATATATATAGTACTAACTATGACACAATGATAAATATAAAATATTGATATTGCTATTCCTTTCCCTTAACAACTTAGTACAAGGGTCTAAAGAAATCAGTTTGCACACATTTTTCCAGTACTTATCAATTTTAGTTAAGTCAAAATATGAACTTGTAGCTTGAAAAAATAATCTGGACACTATTTCCAGCTTAGTTTGTTTACTTTCGTTTAAGAGTCCCTAGTTGTAGATTTGAAAATATAATCTTTGTATTTTGATTCAACTTGTTTCTGTACTTTTTTGATGATCCCTCTTCCACTTTAAATTTAAAATATTTAATTATCTTGTTTCTTTAGTTTTTATGTCCATTTACAGAGAATAAATCTTAAGTTACATACATACATATGCATTCAGTTGAATGTTACATGTTTTTCAACAGTTTACTGCTGCATTGGCTTTTATTCCACCCGACCACTATTTACTGAGCCATGTAAACACACATTTACCAAGCAAAGTAGAATAAATCACCACCCACAAGAGTAGAGAAATCTCCTAATATAACCGTCTACTGTTAGAAACTCACTGAAATAGTCACAGAAAACCACAGAGAAATGAAGTACAACAGCGAATTGTATATCATAAGTGTCGTAATTTTGTTTATTATCGAACTAAAGAAACAATGAAGAACAGTGAACTTGAGAAATGATGAATCCTCAGTGTGGCAATTTCCAATTAATGCTCTATAAGTTGCACAAATTATTTTCCAATTAATGTGCATTACTAAAACACCAGATTTTTCCAATGGCGGAATGTGAAGGACTTAGGAAATTCTTCAGGGCAAAAAAAAAAAAAAAGACTTGAATTAATTTTAAAACTGCCCAATGACATACTCAATAC